TCCTAGTTTCCAAATTGAAAACTTTTTTTTCATGGGTCTGCTAGTGATCCATTCTTTCTTTTATCCTTGGAAGGGATTACTGGCTGAACCGTTTTCTTGACAGAAGCATTTGGCAAGGCTTTTGACGTTTCGAGATATTCGTATATGTCGAGCATCAACTACCTCATTCCAAATGTCGCCACTGCTTGAGTGTAGTGCTATATGTCAACTATGAGTTTCGGGAAAATAGCTGAAAAAAAAAAATTTGGGAGCATCTATCAGTACTAGACTGCTGTGAGATGTCTTACGGACGACGGGTTTTGAGAGGATAGCCAGGAAAAATTCTGTGAAATTTGTCCCCGGAGCATCGGTCACTCCTTTGTTAAAAATTTTTGGTCATCTCTTCAAAAAGGTTCATTCAATCAGACAGTTATTCTCGCGGGCGGAGCACCTTTTTGAAAATCGTTATGGACCGAGGGGGGAATCGAACTACTCGTCTTCACATCCGTACGCAACATGCTAAACCACTACACCAGGGGGTGTGTGTTGCGCATACCTGCTTGAGCATCTATATTCTGCATACGTGACATCTCCGCATACATACTATACCATCTGGCTGCTGCATCCTGTACAACACATCCTTTTAACATTTCCTGATTTTTACGGTATTTTTTGGACAGATTTTATGGTAAATGTTTGTTTTCCAGCGAGCATTATTGGCAAAAGTTGAGCAGTGTGAAGAACTTCGAAAGGAGCTTCTGGATTCGGGCGATAAGCTGCTTGTGCACTGCTTTGGTGGTGACGATTTCTACGCAACTGCTTGCAACAATAAATACATTCAGGATTGGGCGAAAAGCATGCAAAACAATAAAGTCATGATCAAGGTTTTTTTTTTCCCCGAAACCTTATTTCGTTAGCTTTAAGGGCCCAAGGATTCGAATGAAGTTAGTTTTATTCTGTTGTGTTTTCGCTTCTGTCAACGTGTAGTTTGTCTGAGCCGACTAGCGGGACTGCGTAGGCATACGAGCCAGTAGTGACCGGGGACGCTGACGAGGGAGACGGCTATATAAAATTAAACATTCCTTATTAATAGAGACCACAAGTACCAACCCAGAGTCGGAGGCTTGGCGCGTGCCTCCCTATAGGTTTAACTTCATACAGATATTTGCACTACCTAACATATTCGCACTAAAATGGCAGGAATTCTGGAAGTACTCAGATAACTAAATAAGGCTTTTGTTGCTAGTTTTTTTTTACCCTCAAATCTGGCTTAATTCTCGTGATTCTTTCATTTACGTGCTTGGAAGGGGGGAGGGGGGAGAGCTTTTTTGAATCCCAGCGTTTCTGTCGCCAAGCTTCATTTTATTGAAGAAGCGTTGGGAATGTTGTTTTTCGCAGTGATGGGGTCCTTAACTTGCTGCCGCGATCAAAGATCCGTGTTGCTACCTCGATATGAGACATTCATCAAACATGACATATATGCATAGCATATGATTATTAAAAAAATGCGTTTATATGTAAATTTAGTTATATATAATTACATTAATGCAATGTTTTTTTTCCAGTCCTACCCAAATGCTGCGTTTGGTGTGTGTTTACAGCTAAGGGATGAAACACAGACTGCATCTTAACATACTTTCTTGCATATAATATTTAGACTGATTCCTTATCTCTTGCTCTGTAACTGTTATTCGCCTATGTCCTGTAGCCGCGGTGATTTTGTTTGTTTGGATTCGGCATTTATCTTAGGAACTGAGTTATTTCGCAGTTTGTCCTGTAACTACATTCGCTTTTATTGAATGTTGATATATATTGTTATTTTAAGATACCAATGGAATTTCCACTGACCAGTGAAGCAGTTCTTTCAATCCCAAAATTCGGCCTTGGCAGAAATGTTCTTGGCGTGATTTACATGCAACTTCGTGAAATGGTAGGTTTTTCTGAAAATATTGTATTTGCTAAGAAAATATGCAATATTTTAGGTAGTGAATGAAATAAGGTGAATTACAGATAGGCTTGATTTTGGCGATTATTTTGGTAGACAAAAATGGATACTGTTTTGAGTTGATTTTAAATTTTTCGCTTATCTACAGTGGTTTTTTTTCAGTTACGTGATGGACTGTTGCCGTACAAAGGCAAAGCAAAAAAGGTATGAATGTTTTTTGGTTTCAAAATAAGGCGGGGAAATTGAAGCGCTGTGACCTGTGACCACAGAAGTATAAAAGCACTCCTCCCCATTTCCGGCATCCGAAGTCGCTTTTTTGTCAATCAACCCTGTTCGGGGGAGCTTTGGCTGCCTAGAACCTCGCTACCTCATTTTTCATTATTACTTCTATTTTCCTTTGTGCTATATTACTTTAGTTTTCGTAAATATTTCGCAAATATATGTATATATGTTTCCGTAAATATATATACATATATATGCATATGTATACATATATATATATATATATATAT